GTCCCCACATAGAAGTGGTCTCCAGATTGATTGATGGCTCTTGTCCCTGGAATGCTTAGTCACGTATGGCCCCTTTGCGCGTGTCCTTACCCCAGGTGGACACAGAAGAACCCAGGTCAGGGAGTGCCTAAACCACAATGTTAATTATAATACAATGAACACTGGGTTGTGTCCAGTTAAGTCCTTTCTCAGTTCATAGTCATGACTGTCGGGTGCTGACCGGTTTCTCCCTAGCACTCATTTAGAGGAGGTAAAGCCCCTTTATGCTGGAGGTGGGCATAACACCATCTTCCGGACCCTCCTCCCTCTCCTCCACTTATCTGCCCATTGCCCTCAATTATCTAACTACCTGACAATTCCACAACTTCCTTTTTTATTTCCTGTATTCCTACAAATAAATTTAAATTGTCAGGCCCACCATGCTTTCATTCTATCAAATTCTTTCTTCCCAAGGCAGGAGAAGACAGTTGTGAGTTCTCAAAAGTAATGTTGGTTGAATTTTTTAAGATTGAGGACATCTACTTCCATTCCAATCTTGTCAAGTGCTGCTAGGCAGTGGCCTTATGCTCATATGAAACACAGCCCAGGAGCCAAGAAAAGCAGAAGTGCAGAAGCACAGATTCACATAAGATGGGAAGGCACCTTAGAAATAATGGACTCCACACACCACCTCACTCTCCATTTAACAATGAAGGACCAATGCTCAAAGAGAGAAGTGATTTACAAATGTGCAACTGAATATACAGCAGCCAGAGGCCAAGCCTAATATTGCCAATTGATTAAAATACTTTTGCCAAGTTGATTAAAATTATTAAAAGATTAATATACTACAATACAACTGAGTCTATAAGCTTCTAGAAGTGTATTAAAATTAGAGATGCACAACTTGTGACATTAATTGTTTTTCCTTTCATAACAATTTCAAAATTCTCGGTGTTTCTCAAATACAGTACAACCACTATTTTCCATGAGCATTATTCAGAACAAACCTGGCACTCTATGTACTATGTGGGTGAATTGGGGCTTTTTATCTGAGATTCTATTTTAAGATCAAAAAAAGAAAAACCTGTCTTAATTTAAAACAGTAATGACTGGTAAATCCCCAAGGATGCATGCCCAATATGTCATTAAAAAGGAGCTAGTTCTCGTTTTCTGAAAATGAATATGACTTTGTTTTTGTATTCTTATTGTGGTAAAATATCTCTGCTTATTACATTAGTTCATTATTATTATTGCCACGTTAAACTGGAGCTGTTTTCTCAATGACAGCTATTCCTTTTAGTCAACTAGATACTCAACACTCTACTACCCAGGATATTTACATTTTACAGGCAATGAGTGTGTGCAGAACAACAGTCAAAATAAATTTAACAATGGTCTAGAGAAGTGAAGAAAGTTAAAATTATCCTTCTGAACTACTGCCACCAGTCCATTTAAGAAAGGGAATAACTAGTGTTTATTATGCACAAAGTTTTCATCACTTCTTCCATGCAGTTCTTACACATTGTCATATAAATCTATATATAGCCATATCCAATATAGTCCTATATTTTATTCACCATTATATTAGGACATAGGTTGAGTTTCAATCATGACTTTCTGCAAATATTTGCGAAAAGATCTTAAATAAACTAGGTAGGGCTGGGTAAACATTTCCTCGATTTGTACTGGATTGGTTCTACAGTGATTCAGTAAAACCTTAATTTAAAAGTGCTTACATCTAAAATTTTATTGGGAAATGATGGGCAGAGACGTTCCATCTGATTGGCTGACATTTAGAGGAATTAAGATCAATAATAACCCACCTACCAGGAGACAAATGCAAGGAACCAGATCCTTCCGTATGTGGAGTGTTACATGATTGCTGGGAAACTGTACATCTGGGACCACATTTCTGCACCTGGTCAGCTTCACACTTCCTATCAGTTATCTCTTTCTCCAAAGTTCTTTCCGGATCAAAGATCAAAGTTCATGTTTACTTCTACATTTAACATTCTGTGGGCCCTTATTTTGTGCCAGGAATTGTGCTAAATTCTTTACAATCCTATTTGCTTGTATAATTATGAAATCTCATTTCATAGTTAAGAAAACTAAGAGCCTGTTCCCTTAATAACAGTAGCATATGATTGGAAGCGTCTTTTTTTCCTTTTTGGTAAATATTTTATTATCCTTTTACATTTGGTTGCAATTCTTTTGCTTTTGCTAAAAACATTACCTAGGTGAATATACATAAGTACATGCTACCATATTGCAGATAAATAATTTAATATGTCTCTCTTAGGGTCCAAATGTAGATATTTGTATCTTTCTGGGAACATGAAGCATCATTTCTTATGCAGACAAAATTAGTGATGAGCAATGTAGTATCTTTGGACTGAGAAGTCATTAAGTCATTCCACTCAATCCTAGCCAGTACTCCTCTGTTGCAGAATATTAATAAGATCTTGTTGTCTATAAACCCTTTGTTGTTTTTGTTACCTATAAACTTGAAATTTAACATTTTCAAAGTGAACTTTTGATTACCAACTCCAAGGTAAGTAGGAGATTATGATCCTTACTTTAAAGCCAAGATAACTGAAGGGAGGGGAACGCCAGTCAATGAAACTACCCAAGTTTATATAGTTAAATGATGGCAGAGTTTTGCCTAGAACCTTCTGATGACTCGTTTGATGTTTTTCTAGTAGAATGTCCCTCAAATAACACTTAACCTTCTGGTCATTCAGTCTTTATAGCTCACGAATTGTATGAACTTGGTAATTTTTCCAGAAATAAATAACTTTATATGGAATACAAAATTTAGCAGAAAGAAAAAAGACATGGAAATACAAAAAAAGAGATACAATAAATTCCTACCCACATCATAAACAGTCATAAAAAATTTCCTGGAATATTGGATTTGAGTCCTCAAAAAATTTTGTAAGACTGACCTTCAGAAGACTAATTCTTTATAATTTGTCTAATTTATAATTTGTCAAAGAGCAGCATTCAAAAAACAAAACACCTTTACAGCTACTTGCTTTTGTTATTCCATGCTATCTGGAGAAAGAATTGATTTGTGTATGGCCACTAGTTTTTGGTCATTGTCATTCTAGACTGAACAACCATAAGAAAATCTTAGTCAAAAGTGACATCAATTTCAGTTATTTTTAATTTTTCAAAGTGAATGTGTGTAAAAGTAAGAACATCATCACAGTTCCTATGGAGTTACTTATTAATTAGTGTCACTTGGGTTTTTATATTTATTATAAATTCATATAGTTAAAAATCAAGTCAAAGTACTATGAGAACATGGTTCTTTTCTCTGTCATTTACTGAGACTTTCTGTAAATGTCATTTACAAAGAATTCTGAATGAATGAATCCAAGCTCAGATTCTTCAGACAGCTGTTCTGTTGCTTGGTCAAGTTCTGTTCCATTTCTCTCTAAGCATCAATTCTGTTCTCTCTGAAGACCTGCTTTCTCTGCTTACCCATTATCCCTGTTTTTCCATATTCTGTCTGTGGTTTTTGTATCTGTTAGCTTTTCCCTTTCTAAGGCATGGACTCTGGCCCTAAATTTTCATGTTTTACAAGTCTAGCACCCATATTAACCAGCCATAATTTTGCCTCTTAATTCAAAATTTTAGTAGCTGTAACAAATATATTCAGCCCAGTCTTTGAGCATGTTTCAATCAGATATGATAAACAGGGTGAAGACTCGTATATAAATAGTGCCACTACAGCCCACCGAAAAGAGAACAGCCAAACAAACACCTAAAACATGTCTACTGTCAATATATATTTATAGAACATTATCCTAGCTGCTACAATAAAGGAGAACACAGG